TTCTCAGAAACGAGCCGGAAACCCGAACTTTTTTCACCATAGATATAACTCACTAAGATCTAAAAGATGCGCGAAACATCGACTGAAAAGCAGATTAACACCTGGGAATGTTCCCTTGTGAGACACCAGTGGGAGATTCGTCTTCTGCAGTAAATGCCGCATCTTCTGTAGCAATCTCACATGTCCCACACTTCTCCACAGAGAGATGCGGCATCTCTCATATCGTTATCTCCCAGCATCTCTGGATAAAATTTTGTTTTTATTTCTAACCAAGGACCCAGATGGGCGATGCCGCATCTCCAAGCACATCTCCTCAGAAGATTCGGCATCTCTAAACATCTTTATCGCGAGAATAAGGGAAGAAACACGAGCACTCACGGGCACACAACCACATGTCACGAGTGTGGATACGAAAAAAAACACGAACACACACGGAAACACATACAGTCACATCTCTTTAGTGTGGATGTGGGAGAAAACGCCAACCCACGTGAGAACACCCATAATGTAGTCATCTATTGGTAGATTGTTTGGCATCTCCCACATCTTCCTACACTTCCCCAGCATTCCTGATTTTTGGGATATGTGACACCTCTCGATTAGCCCGAAGGAACTCTGAGCCAGACCAGCTTTCTTTCCAGAGTTATAGCTAGTAATAGATATATAAAAAACATTGGGCCTTTGAAACTATCTTTAGACAGCATCCTATATCGCAAAGCAGCTGAAATGTAGAATACTCCTCTTCATCTTCTTCTAGGGTAGTTTGAGACAACAGTTTAAATTGTAGTTATATTGCCCTAAAAATGCTGTAGTGTGGTAATGCGCCAGTAGAAATAGAACTTTGTGCTGTGACCTAAATGTTCTTCAGATATAGTCATAAGGACTTTTTCTGTTTATGATCATACCTATGCACTTTAGTTTTCCTTCTTTCCTCTTGTTGTTAGTCGTGCATCATAGATTTTTCCTTTCCTCTCCGATTCTTATATGTGACGGTATTTTTTCTTTCACTTCTAAGTATATACGATGGACAATACCCTCCATTTTTGATCTTCTATGGTTAGCTTTGTTTTATGGATCTCTCTTTCTTTTTCATAATCTATGGGATTTTTCTGTATTATCGCTATATATATTCTTGATATATTTTCGCAACAAAGAGAGATTACCAACAAATATAGCTAAGAAATGAATTACAAATGGAATTAGAATCTAACACTTAGGGTGGAAGGCTCCACCGAAAGATAGTCAGAAAATGGATGTTGAAATTTGCAGTCTGTGTGGCTTGAAACACAATTTTCTATCTCGAAAGGATGAGTCTTCACAGGCTGATGTATTTTACGGCGCTCTAATTCTTTGATTAAAATCAACCAATGAGACTTCTGTAGGTCTCTGATTCAGTAATTTTGAGGTCTCTTATTTATATTGTTCAATCACTCAGAATTTTCTCTATGCAGCTATGAATCTATCAAGTTTCTAAATGCCGAGAATTTAGCCAATGAATGTGTGAGTGCGAATGTCGGGAAGTGTCAATAAGCATAGCAATGTGGATATGAATTTGTGCTTGTATCACAGCTGCCAACCATGCACATTGTTGATCTGGGTTTATTCCTACGGAAACATTTTTCAAAAAAGTCCATTTCTTTTGATTTTGGGTCCGCTAATCTAACAGTAACACATGAAGAATGAGGGTTTTCGTATTTTCTTCATATCTTCTGTAGTTGTCATGGATTCGGATGGGTCTTTCTTAATAATATTGATCATTTGATTGTGGACGAAGTCATAAAAAGATGCATCTCATAGAAATGAAATAAAATAAAAGACGTTATTGTTGTAATATTACAGACATGCAATACCAACTACTTGAAAAGCACTTCGAGGGGATCAGTCAGAATAAAGTTCTTCCCGGTGTTTCCTCAATATCTCTGTTGCTTTTCATAGTTATGGATTTCACACTTTCAAAAAGGCTTCACGTTTAACTTTCAATGGACACGCGATTTCTTATCGGAAACCAATAAGTACTGCTTAATTTGTGTAGTAAAGTTGCGCTATGAAAATTCCAGAGAACACTAATAAGATAGCGCTTTTGAAGATCTACAGATGCTTGTTAATGCAGATCCTCAGCAGCTGAAATGTGGAACTCATGTCTCTTGTTTAACTTCATTATTTTGATTTGATTATAATCATTGGATTAAATGACTAATAAGACTGACAAATACTTAGTATTTAATCTCGGCTACTAAAGTCTATAATGTGGGCATGACTGGCTTTAGTCTGTAATAGGGCGGATATGGGAGCCGGAACAACTTGGCTTGAAACGTTCACTCACTACTTTGTTCGAAAATTTATGCCAGTGTCACAAAATAGACAGTACAATTTGTTTATCAAGCTTCATGTGGCAACACATAAACACAAGCAAGCTGCATTTCGAGTTTTGAAGTTATTGATATTAAATGCTTGCAGCATCACTACAATAGCGCTTTTTGCTTTTATTCCTGTGACATCCACATGTATGTGGTTTTGTGGAGAATCAAATACTGCATCCCTGAGAAAATATTCAGTCCAAATCTATGAAAACTAGAGAAAATATTGCGAAGGGTGAAGACCCTCATTCATTGTAGACTACCCTTCAGTCGCAAGAAAATTGAGTTCGAACTCGGGCTCCGTGTCTCCTCCTCCTTCCCCCCCCCCCCCCCCCCCTTTAAAAATCAATGTTTGATTATGATAGAACATCGAACAATCGCTCTTCCAACTGAGAAATGTGATTACGATTTTCCATGAATCAGACCGTAGGCAAATCGATCAAAAATATCCATTCTTCAAGCTATCCTTTCGGGATTGAGAATGATTTTATTTCATTGTTTAGTGATGTAAAGAATACAAATACACTTTTGCTTATATCTATACAGGATAAATAGTTAAATATAATGAAGAGGCTTGACGCAAAGGGCACTACATGTTAAGTCCAGTAGTTCAGTGAGTCGATGTAGCAAACTGACACTGAAACCCAAACACAATACCCACACCCAAACCCAAACTCTCAAACGGTTTGGGTTTGAGTTTGGGTTTGGTGCATGCCTACTTGCAATCGTATTGACACTTAACTATAATGGAAAATGTAGAGGATATATTAAATGTTCATTATCTCAAGTAATAGCAAGATCGAATTTTTGTAATAATGGAAGAAGAATAGATATACTATTAGGAATAGTTATCGTTATATCTTGAAAACTAGTTGATAATTCCGAGATTTTCATCAAACCTGAACAAATCAAATTGATATTATCGGTGATGTTAGAATATGAACTGTCTTTCAATGTAGCCATGTCTAGCAAGTCCATTCATTTGTTCAATAGCGATTAATTGTACTAATAATTCTGCTAGATATTGTGGATCAGGAAAATAATAATTGGATAGAAGTATATCATCATAACGAAGAATAATACCTAAAAGTATTTTTATTATTCTTATCAATCTTGTTCTTTAATTGAACCATTTTCATGAAGCCATTTGGTTGCTTGTTGAAGTTCAACATGATCACGAAATGAATTCTGATTTGTCCCTTGAAAAATTTCCTGAATTAAATCTCTATAAACAGCAAAAAAAAGCAATCTTTGATTGATAAACAAAATCAAACCTTTTCTTGTATTCTTTTTCAGTTAAAATCGATTTTTTTCGATTGTGACGATATTCCTCTAAAGCTTCTTCTAAATAAATATATTTCGCTGGAATTCTCGGTTGAAATACAGTTTGATCTTGTCCACCTAAAATCTCCTTTCAAATGACCTTGATCAACAAAAATCTATTTCATTCTACCTGGTGCTAATAACTGTTCAGCAATGTCAAAAATCAATGTTAATAATTGTGTGATATTCGACTCTGTTTTACTACTAATTTCAATTGAATCAATCACTTTAGGATAGCCGAATTTTTCACTTTGAGATGTATCAATAAAACGTTGATAGAGAAACGATTGATAATGTTCGGATAATTGTCGATAATTTTTTAATTTAATCATTTGATCTTGATGTGTACCGATGAACCTGGTGCCACTGTCTAAGGCATAAGAATCTTTCTCAAACATGACCATCGAAATGATTCATAAGGGTCACAGATGTATGTAGAAATCAGTGATTTTGATTGATTTTTAATGAAACTCTATAGAATTTTTCTTCTTCTTTATCTATCTGACGATGACAAATATATTTACCAGCTCATGTGCTTCATGTATAGAGAATAAGAAACAAGCCAAGGCTGTTGATGCCATTTAAGTTCTACTATGAAAAGAAAAAGATAGTCACGAATTGTCGATCGATATCAAGCACTAGTGAAGAACAAATCTATGGTGTACCAGTGAAGTTTGCTGATCATTTATTCAGTACTGTAAGTTTGATCATAATCGAAGGTTAAGTAAAAAAAAAAGATCTGATCTTTTCTAGCTTGTTCATGGTCAAATTTGTCAATTAATTAATTTATCCGAAACAAAACAACTTCAATCAACTGATGAAGAAGCATTTCGATTATTAACATGTCGAATAACTGAATTATTAAAATATCTTATCTCTCGACATATTAAAGATATCTATAAAGTAATCATTCAAGTCATAACTTATTCAAAACAAGATCATGAAGCATTATTCATCATGAATCGATGTTTATTAAATCATCTAACAGATGATCTTTTTTCAATTGAAAGTGATCAAATAAATTTTTTTTTCTTTCTCACAGATAAAAAAGTTTATTTATGCGTAAATACGTCATTTTGCACATATTCTAAATATATGAAGGTTCTTGTCCTTTGGTTAATCCCATTGAAGCTAGTTGAGCCATTATAACTTCTGTTGAAATGATATGAGCTCGTGAACGATATCTTGTAGTCAAGTCTAAAATGGGTGCTGTTGGTTGAATAGCATCTGTTCCAATAGCTATACCACATAATTCTCCATAAGCTGTAAAACAGCCGCCACCACTATCTCCTTTGTTCGCATCACAATCAGATCTTATATGACCATATTTATCTTGCTTTGTTGAAGAAATAATACCACTAGTTATACACAACGTTCTAGAGATTTCAGTATATGAATAAGCAAGTAATAAAATATGATCACCATCGTGAGGTAATGTCGTTCTTGGCTGTGGTAATATCGATTCTGTTTGCATAAGAACATAGTCAAGCTTTTCATTAAAATAGATAACTTTTACCATATAATGAGTGTATTCATCAATATCAGGAAATTTTACATATAAATTACGACCAAGTTTTAATTCATACCGTAATTCACCATGATAATGAGAAACGATATGATTATCGTTCACGATTGTTACTGTATGGTTTTTTGTTATGTTAGATTCTTGTTGTTGTTCAGATATTGTCAACATGTATCCAACAAATTTTTTCAGTTGTTGTACTGCAAATAAAGATAAAGCGATTACTATGCACGACTTTGATACATTCAGTAAAGTATGAGTGATATGTCGCTGTTTTCTTTAAAAAAAAACATTAAAAAAAAGTTGTAAACTATCAGAGCAAAACGGGTTATGAATAAATGGGAAAACTATTCCAAGTCAATTTGAGTTATCTTCAAATCGCTGGAGTCAGTCGATTGGAGTTTTATAAACTTGTGAATCGAGAAATCTCAAAAGTAATGCTCATTTTCTAATGAGCATACTAAAAACACTTTCGTAAAAGAGTTTTTCATAGCTTTTGATTTCGTATCTCACAGTTTACCTAACATGGAAGTTTTTAGAAAAAGCTCGAAAAGTCATAAATGAGATCTTTTAAGGAGAAGCTATGCTCCGATTAGTAGTTTCTTTTTAGAAAACATTATTACCAATCTTTCTATGAATAAGATGTTGTTCAGTTTGTTCTACTCTTGTACTAATATCACTTGCTTCGCTAGATTGTCCCTTTAGACGTTTAGCTTGTGGTAGACGTAAATCATCGTCATCTGTAGTAATTAAAACATATTTTTCAGTTGAATTCCATGGACGATATTCGCTTAAAATGCTACCATTACTATCAATATCACATCTACGACAAACAAAGGAAAATTTATTCTTTACGAAACAAAAATTTTCTTAGTAACTTACAAAATCCACGTTCCGCTCTCGGAATCATAACATTTCAAACCAGAAACATTTTGTCCAAAATAATTTTTAAGTGTTGATAGACGAACAATGCCATTATTTACTGGTATTCGTACAGACGAATTTTCATCGATATTTCGAACAACTTGTATCAACATATCTATCATAAAAAATTTTCTTGAAACCAACAAGAAAAATCTTACACTAAAGGCCGAAAAAATGTACGATACTCTTCATACTCAATTTGAAATAGATAATAGAGAACTAATTGTGTTATTGATGAATAATAATGCAGAGCTAAATACTTCTGTACACAATTGAGCTTGTTCGATCCGTAATTACGTTTACAGAGCTCTCTAGAATATTTTCATCAGAAAAAAAGCTTACTAGAAGGTAAAGCAAAGGAAGTAAATAGTAACAGCAAGTTATCACTGTAAAAAAATAAGACACATGAAGTGTATAAATAAGACAGTTCATTCGCTTAAACGAGACATTTTGAACTAATTCTGATTGGCTGATATAACTCTAATTTAGACGCTTCAAGTGTCAACAGATGACCGATTTTAGACACACTCGAGCGTCTTAGTCATTTCTCGTTGGAGCATTTGAACTAATTACAAAAGTATCTTAAATCTGTTTTTCCAAGATGTTGTAGCTGATTTATGAGGTACTTATTCTGAAAATGAATGTACTTCGATATGATCAGTACGTATTAAGAAAATAATTTTGATAAAATAATTTTTTAACTTTTCTTTCCATCAAATTCGTTTTTATTAAATTTAACTTTAATACAAAAATTTTTTTTTTTTATTTTTTTAAAAAAAAAAATAAAGTTAAATTTAAAAAAAACGAATCTGATGAGAAGAAAAATTAGAAATTATGTTATCAAAAATATTTCGTTAATACGTACTGATCATATCGAAGTACATTCATTTTCAGAATAAGTAATTCGTAAATCAGCTACAACGTCTTGAAAAATATTAAAGTTCAAGTTCCGATGAGATTGAGTTTGTTATCGAATTTTTTTAATAAATGTCCAAATGAGAAATTAAATCTGAAAACTTTATGATTGATGTTCTACACGATAGTGCTCAAGAAGAAAAAGAAAAGAATCATACAACACGGTTTTAGCCTAAATAATTAATTTAAAAGAAATACTTTTGATATCGAAAACGCATAACTCAAAAAATTAGTTTAGAAAAAAAGAATAGAAATAACAAAATCCTTATAATGTAGAAAAATACTTTCCTTGACGATTTCACATAATTTAAGAAAATTTGATAAGATTCACTTGTGCAAGTCGTCACAAGTGAGAAAGAAAAGAAATGAAAATTGTACACAATAGCGACAGTTATTAAATAAGGAATAAGACACTTCAGTGTCTACACATTCAATTGTCTAACATAACATATAAGACGCTTTAGTATCTATTACACCCAAGCGTCTAAAACAGAGACGTTTCTAGTGTCTAACTAATGTCTAAAATAGACTATAGACGTGTGCACCGTCTTGTAAGAGGGATGGCATTTTTGACAAGTGTATCACTTTCGTGCAGTAGCCATATTGAAAAACAATTGACTCTGTAAGTGATCAATAATAATTGTAGATGATAGGTGACGGTATAGTACAAACAAATAATCTTAAGTCGATGTATGCCCTCATTTTTTGTATCGTTCTGTGACCAATCAAATAATTGAGGTGCTAAAGAGTAAAAGAACTGTTATCGATATTTATTTGATATAAAAAAGAAAAGAAGTTAATCTACGAAATATTCGCGATGAATATAGTTAAGAAATATTTGGAATATTTTTAGATGTTAGCTAAATTATCTTGTCCGTTATTAAATAATGGTGTACCATCATTATTAATTGTTCATCGACCATTATCGTTCTCAAATGTATTCTTTCAAAGTGTTTCAACAAAATTAATGAAAAGAGATTTTTCTCTTTTTGTTTTTAATTGAATAAAATAAATTCGAAATAAAAAATAATTTAGATGAAAAATCATTGATCGATCAAAGAAAAAAACGAAAAAGTATAACGTGTTGAACATTCATCAAAAGATTTCTCAACAGTTAAATGGCTTACAGAATAAAATGGGAAAATTCATTGGTCTGAACGAGATTTAGTTATCCACCATATAAATAAAAGGAAGTACAAAATCCAGTTTGATGGTATTGTGTAGCTGAATGATGATTGAAATTTTTCTATGAAAAAACAGGTGTTACTGTTACATATATGTTTTTTTATGTTTTACTTATTTATGATTTCAGCAAAGAATATATCGTTTGATGGGATGATTTCATTGAATATCTTATTTTAGCTGCACTGTTATTGCTCTCGTCAAAAAGTAAATGAATAATTGATTTTATTGTTTATTTTTGAAAAGATTTGCTTATTGTTAAAAAATAGATTAGCTTGAACAATATGATCCGAATGGATATTCTTCAACTCATTTATTTTCAAATAAGATCATTCACAGTTATGTCAATGGTGATATTTAGAAACGAGTACGAATTAAATCTATCTATTTTCATTTTTATCTAAATATTCTTGTTATAAATTCTATTTGAATAATAATAATAAAAACCACGCTTTTATTGATTTATTTATCACACGTCGACAGTAATGAAGTACGAACTAATTAAATTGAATTTTTGTATAAAAAAATACAAAAATAACTTGTTCGTTGAAAGAAGACAAAAAAAAGAGAAACAACCACAACATATTTTTATTTCGTCTCGAGTGCACAGAATTTGAAGCAAACGACTAGAGAATATAGAAGAAAAACAAATGCATTGATGAGCTTGATCAAGAAGTTTTTTTTTTTTTTGTAAAATTTTATTGTCGCATATGCATATTTCTTTAAAACGTTCAGGTAAAAGAAATATAAGAAATAATTGTACAACAGTCATCGATTGTTCACATGGATCCATAATACCACGTTGAAGCCATTTTGGTATTGTTAAATGTGCATGACGAAAACCTAATTTTTGTAAAATATAATCAACACCAAAGGGTTCAACCTCATTTCCATATGCAGTTAGAAGTTTTATTGTTGGTTGTAATTTCCATTTCGTATCTGGACAATGAAAACGACGTTTATCATCACTTGGAGGTTCATCAAATGATGTTAATGTTTGAATATCAACTGGATTTGAAGGTGTTGTCGACAATGGTGATGGCTGTGGTGGTGCTGGTGCTGTTGATCGTTGTCGAGGTTTATCATTTGTTGTTGCTGTTAAAGCTAAACAAAGAGAATAATTTTTAATTTGTCTTTTTTTGCTTTACCTTTTTCTTTTTCTTTAATATAAGATGAAATAAGATCATGTAAAAAAATAAAAATGTTCAGCATTAAATGTAAACATAATATGTTCATAAAATTCTGTTTCAAAACTACAATATATTTCTCCTTAAAAAAATAAAATTAATTTTAATTTTAATTCAATTGATTAGTACAAGAATTTTTACCATTTAATTGACGTGTTTGAAAACTTAATTCAAGACCGGGAAGAATAAATATTGACTCAGCATTTTGTTCAAATTATTTTGAACGTACTTTACTTGTTGGTGTTGGATTTGAAACATCATCCATATTTGGAAAATCACGCAGACCTAAAAGAACAATTTAATCAAAATATCGAAACTAATGAGGGAGATCTCTATAAATACTTCCATAGTATTCTAATAAAAAAATATTAAAAGGATTTGGGTTTCTATCAATATCTGAGTAAGCTGTCGAATATTTTTCGAGAAGTCACAGCTTTTCGAAAAACTCGTATTTTGATCTGAAACTATGCTAACTTCTATATAAAAACTCATCCTTTATTCTAATTGGGAACTCTATTCAAGAATGATTAATTCCTTTAAATTTTCTTTTCTATAAAAAAACAAAAAAAAAAAAATAACGTACCAACAGCAGAAATAGTTGAACTAGCATAATTAAACCATTCATTAATGGTTAAATGTGATGGTGCTTCATTACTATTTCTTGTAACTTTAGATATAGAAGCCATATTTGTACGAGATTTAAGACTAGATGGCATTGTTTGTCCTTGATGACCCAAATAGAAAAATAATTTTTGATTAACTAGAAGAGAAAAGAAATCTTTTTTTCATTTTTAATATAAAATTATAATAAACTTACTATCTCCTTTCTCTCCTCGATCAGTAACAAAATTAATTTGTGGTTCATTAAGTGAAAATAAAGCCCATTGACGTGATTTAAAATTTAAACCATGAAAAACAACTAATGTTAAATTATGTCCTTGTAACATTAATTCTCCTCCATGCATACCAATATATCGTTTAGTTATATTTGTATCATATTTTGATTGTCCATTTGTAATTTTGTTTTCCATATTATTTCGTTTAATACCATCATAAAAATCATATTGAATTGATGCTAATAAATTTTTTGAATTAAGTAATTGTGCATTAAAAAATTCAGTTAATTTCATAGCCATTTTTATTATATCAGGTGTTGTTGAACGTGTTATCATTAAATGTAATTGTGACCATTCAAGATTAAGAAATACAAGTGTTGATGATGGTGTTAATTCATTACCAGATATTCCATGATGATCATCTTTTAATCGAAGTAATATATGACATATACGACCCATTAATGTTGGTGAACCCATATAATCAAGACGAATTTCAATTGCATTTGTTAAAACATCGAATACATGTGATGATTCATTGAAAAAAGTGCACGACCATGAAGATCTTGACGAATAAGACCTGGCAATAAAAATAAAAATAAATTTTGATCATATTACATGTTTCTATTACATGACAATGATACTCAGTGTATTTTCGAAGAACAAATCGAATTCAAACAAAATGAAAGGAAACTTATAATATCTTTTTTATGTCGCAGGATGAACTATAGGCTAGAATATGTATCGAATCTGAAATTCTTGGCTTCGGTTTTTCTCAATACATGGAATAGTCACACCCGATCTATCTAGTCTAGTTTCGATTCATACTTACGTTAGTCATGATCGATTTCGATATTTCTTTTCCAATTAGTTTAATAAGTATAAGTGTACTGATAGACATGTTTCTGTGTTTAATCGGAAGGACATTGTAATGCGTTCAGTTTCAGTTACTCTTCCATAATATTTAGAACAGAAGGTCGTAAGAAATGCAGTAAGCTCTTATTTTTATTCAGAATATTGTGCACTTAAAGATACTACTCTAAAAAAATTGATTTTCATACAATCTTTTGAAATCTAGAAACTACCATGTTTGGTTTTTTAAAAACCATTCCTTGCATAGTTCATCTATGAAATTTCAGTATGGAATGCACTTAATAGAAAACTTCATTAATTATTATTTTATATTTTTGGATTTTACAAAATTCTCAATAAATAATATCTATGTATTGTTTGCACTTATGCCTATTTTATTGCTAATTGAATTATTCTAACAATTTTATATACTTAGAAAAATAAATTACCTGTAGTTCGAAGATTTCTTAATCTTATAGTTCCTCCAACAATGCCTTGTTCAGCTTGAAATATAGATTTTTGAAGACCTAATGAAAAGAAAATTGATCTTTGTCCTTCATTTGTTAATCTTAAACTTCCAGTTGAACAAACATCTGTTGTATTCCATTCAACTTTGCCCATAACATTTGACATACGCATAGATATTTGTAATTCTTTTAATTGTATTGCTACAAGTACTCGAGCTTCTTTACGTAATTGTTTATTTGTTGTTGTTTTAATAATAATTGGTGCTATTGGTCGTATTATTGTACTTGATGATGATATTATTGTTGGTAAATTTTCATCACCTAAAAATAGTCGACGAGCTAATGAACGATTATACCATATTTTTGGAAATGTTAAAATTTCTGAAAAACGTCTTATATCATATTCAAATTGTGCTTTTGATATTTGTCCAATAACAGATAATTGTATACTATTTAATAATTCATCATCACGTTCAATTAATGTATAACGTGTACGTGATATATTAAATGAAACTGATTGTACGCTAACAGCTAATGCATTACGTGTTTGTAATTGTCCTGAACGTATATCTTCAAATAAATGTACTTTTGATTCACCAGAAAATGGATGATAAACATTAAGTTTAAAATCTTTCATATAAAGTGAAAAACTTAAGCCACCTAAAGAATTTTCAATAATTTGTTCAGAATCATTTTCAAGTGTAGTTGTTGTTGTTGTTGTTGATGATGGTATATTATCTGGTAATGCACGTTTTGATGAAAATACAACATCAACTATTGGTAAACGAAGTTCACATTCCATTGGATGAGTTGGTAAATATGTAAAAAGAAGAACTGATGGTTGAATAAAAAGACTAACAATAACATCAATTGGAAATGATGTTGTTGATGATGGATCTTCAATTAAAAACCTATGACAATAAAAATTAAAATAAAGATCAACGAAAGCTGTTTTTTTCTTTATTCACTTGATACCAAAATTTCATAGAAAATTGCCTTAAATGACACGATGTATCCCACCAAAATGCTTACTGATGACTAGAGCCTGTTAGGTTCAAACTTTTCAGACTCAGATCTGATGGGCTCTACTGTTAACAAATCAAAATAATATTATCTTTATGACTACAAGAAAGATCTATAACAGTTAACATGATACTGTTTGAGTAGATATACTTTCGTTCTCGCTAAAAATTTTTTTGTACTGGATGGATCGTTCCTTCAGGATTGTTTGAATCAGAGGATGTAGTACAGCAATAAATTAATAAAACATTTGCTAGATATGAAAAGATCTCAAATTATTTTTCGATAACTTATTATGAATATTTTTGTTTGATTTTTTTTCTTTCGAATTCTAGTAGTTTGTTGTCAATTATAAAATCTAACTTACATCGTATTTAAATGATCATTAGTGGAATTTTGTCCATTAATTGTTTGTACTTGTTCTTGTTGTAAATTAGTTTGTCGTTCTTGTTCTCTTGGTAATGTAACATGTTCAAGTGTTTGTTCAAGAAAATCAAGTAATAATGGATGTATCGTTATTTGTGTTGTTGGTGATTGTATCATAGCATGACAATAAAAACTAGCTCGTTTATTTAATGCACTATTTATTGTATTATTATGTTTAGAATTATAATGTGCATCAACATCAACGCCCGGTAAAGAAAATTGTGATACTTGATATTCAATTTTATTTATATTTACAATTGAACCAATACTTATTTGTGATTGCTGTTGTTGTTGTTGTTGTTGTTGTTGTTGTTGCTGCTGTTTTGAAAAGTTTACTGTTGTTAATGATGTATTTGATATTAAATCACGACGTGTATAAAGATTACATGAACCACTAGCTATTTGAATATGTACATTTAATTCTAAATCAACAGCTGGTGCTGATGTTATTTCATTTGGTGTATTTGTTGTTATTGAATAATGATCATCAAATACTGATGGTTCTTGTGAAGAAAAACTAAAATAAAATTAACAAAAAAGCTGTTAGCGCAATCTCTATGAAACTAAAATGTGAAATACGATGTTGTTGTTAATCACCGAGAAATTATTTCGCAAGACGTTTTTTCACTATCCTTTAATTTTGTGGTCTTCTCAGAAATAAACTTTCTTATTTTTAATTTAGTTACAATCAAAATTTAAGAGAATAATAGTTTTGACTAGAATAGAGTATGAACAAAATAACTCCATAGTCATTCGCTATGCTTCACAAGTGCAGTTCAGACGTGTTTTTCTTCTCTTCTCTTCTCGTATTATACTAACTTATACATTTTTTTTCCTTCTCTGGTCACGTTTTTTCTCTATTCTTCATTGCACGTGATCTCCTGTTAAACCATCCACGTCCATCAATTTCTTTCAAAATCCTCGGCTTTGCCGACATGCTGGGCAGCATGTATAATGCTGTCTGCTCC